TGGTAGTCAAATTATGAGGTAACAGGAACATTAATTCCTATAATAATTTAGAACACCGAAAGAAAAGCTCGTACATATATATTAAATGTATTTATACATAATCAATACATTCATATAAATCTGTTAAAATAAATGACTCATTAAGTAAATTACTTCAGTTATTTAATTAGTTTAAACGAACATTATTAACCAATGTTGATAAATGTGTTGTTTTACTATTAAAATATTAAACATTCACCGTATATGATAAAAAATTCGAATTTAACCCGCTATTTTGAGCATTATATAACTAAAATTAATTTAAAATAAAGAGTTTTAAAATGCAGTGAATCAATGATATTGCGTCCATTTTCCATAAATCGTTTACATTCGGTTACTGTTTAACACAGAGCATTTAACGTGTAATGTGAACACAGGTTTTGTGTAACAAAGTCCTCCACAGTACAGCACGCTTTGTTCCCTGGTGTAGAGAACTGCTTTTCAACCTCTTTCAAAGGAGTTTAAACCCACGTGACAATCTATCGTCATATTGCACGGAGTGGAATGGAATTGATTTCTTTCTATTTCACTGGAAAGAACGAAATACACTTTAAGAAATCGGGTGGCAAAGTTATAACAATTTAACATTTAAAACTACAAGTGGAAAACAAAATCTTTGTATATTTAATTATATAATTTGCTTTATCCTTATATTTTCGTAATGGACTACATTGTACGTTCATACAAATATTTTCTTACTGTATCGTCACAAACATCTCCATAACTTTTTATATGTTTTGAAACATAAAATATAAATCCGAAATATAGATGAAGGTAAACAAAATTAAAGCTCTGGAGCTCAGATACAATGGGTATGCAAACGAAAAATACATTTATTTCGACCTCATAGAATAAACGATCATCGACGACGATCATATTTAAAATCAAATTTTTTTAATCGTATTTAAAAAAACACTAATAACTTTTCCATTAAGCTACCTACGGTACTCAAAAACACCCAACAAATTATATTTATTACCTTTGACCAGTTTAAATCAGGGTAAAACGGAACCTTACCAAGTAATTAACGGCTATGACGGTCTGATGTCTCGTAGTTGATAGTAATATGCTCATCACAGCCTTAACGTCATTACATTAATATATTTCGGTTCTGTGTCATTGAACTGCTGCGTAAAATGCATATGTAGATTCAAAACTATATTTATCTACATAAAATATATTGTGGAAACCGTAAACCCAAGTTAAAACTAACCACAACAGAAAGGCAAGGCCGGAGTTAGTCTATTTTTTAGTTTTTTTTTTTAGTTTTCTAGATGTTTTTAGAATTCTGAACGATGTTTCTAGATCTTACACTTGTTTGTTTAAGGGGCAGTAAACATATTACCGACCTGTGTCGGTAAAATATTAGTTAAACATTCATTTTTATGTTGTTTTGGTATAAGTTACTATATTTATGAAATATAATAACAATCCGACCGTTAAAATCCACTCTCATCGATTGGTAGTGTCGGTGTGTGCCTTACCCTGTGGGTTTTTGTGACACAGGCTAAGTTTATCAGCTGACCATCGGTTAAAGAAAAACATTAATTGATGAAAAACGTTATCGATTGTTTAAACATATTATATAAATCAATTGCTGTTGGCTTAGAAAACCTAATTCTATAACAGTTGTCGTATCGGACGTGAACAACAAAATATACAACTTAGAGGGCGATATTGTTAATTAAGGGGTTTTAAGTAAGCACCTTTAAAGGTGCGTACCATTGTACAACCATTGACTTTAAAATGGTAAAACCTAGTAAGAGACTTTATTAGTTCATTCAAGTGACCCAATGTTTGCAGTGAATAATTTTGTAACTAATGAGACTGGAGAGTAGTTAATCAAACGCATTAGATTCTCATTAAAGCTGTCTACACATCACAATCAGTCTTGTATCACATAACTACATCAGCGAGTGTTTCTTTTGTTGTTCCATTGCATTGTTTGAAAGTGTCCTCAAATGTCATCTTTATTAAATATTGTATTCTGCTAAAATATTTGACATTCATCAGTATTATCATTTAATGTTTGAATCATTTTATCAGTAATTAAAATACTAATTATATAAGTGTGCCTTTATTTGTTCAACCTAATAATTGTTTTACCATTATTACAAAGCCCAAAATGTATATAGTATTTCAATTCAACCGATTATTGCTTAGCTCTTTGCGTTTACATTACAGGAATAGAAATTTTTTTAGTACCTATTATTAGCTTTTTGCAGTAGAATAGATATGTTCTCAAACAATATATGACACAAATAAAACTAAAAACATAGACGTTGATGTATGTAAGCATGAAGTTTTATGTCTGATTCTCGGCGAGTAGGCCTAATCCTATCCACGAAGAGGGATACTACTCTTCAAGTGATCCTTACTTAGTAAAAATTACTTCAATTTCCTTTAAATCGCTCTCCTAAGCTGCTATTTGCACAAACTACCAGCTCCAGAAATGTAGCTACTTAACCGAAGATTTAACTCACTAACTGGTGCCCGATGGTTTAGTTTTCCATTTAACCTAGTGCACTACCTACTCGTCTTCTTCCTAGGTCCTAGAAGATAAAATTTCCTAATAAAAAATATAATTTAGATACGATAAACATACTTTTACGCTAACATACTAGGCCCTACCTCTCATGTTCGAATGCAAGTAATAAGTCAAAATTTTTATTACACACACTAGATTGCAAGTTTGTAAGTACTGTATATATTGCTTAAAGTACTATACTATATACTTTATGGTACCATATAGTATACTAACATTATTACTTGATTCTACTTGGGTGTTCTGCATATTTAACTGTTATATTTACTTTGAGTATACAAGAGTAGCAGGTCTTTTTATTTTATAAAATAAATGTTCGGATGTACATCAATATATATATGTTCACTATATATCACTATATATGTTTTAATTAGGCTGTGCGTTTTTACAAACTTGAACATTATACAACCGTTTTAAAATTGCTGATGCTATTTGGCACGTCAATTTAGTGATAAGATAATCAGTAAAATATATCAGTTTTCTGTTGAAGTATTATAAAATGCAGCATCCTTTAAGCATGGTAAATTGATATATTGTAAGTTATTCTCCAAGGGTACATGATATCACCATTATATAGGTTGATTATTATGAATTGCTTATGATTACGTTTTAAACACTCTTTATTAAGGCTGCATGTGTTAGAAACAATAATGGGAACTATAAAGTAATTTAGAAGTTTCATAAATATAAGACAAAATAAATTACACAGTAGAATCTTAATGTTGTATTGGAAGCTAGTCGATCTATCTGTGCTTTGTAATAGGAAGTAATTCTTTTCAAACATGCTACAAAAGTCAGTTTGAACTTTAGCAGCATATTCAAATGACAAGTAGATTAGCAACTAGTTACTAGGAGAACATTTATTTTGTTCAAATCGTCTTTGTTGAAGTGTGAAATAGTAACTGTAGAAAATGTATGTTTGTATGGAATCCAAGTACTGAACTTAGTATCTAAAAATTACTTTTAGTAGTCAAAATAACTAGATTATTCTAACAGTAATACGGCTCATATAATAAAGCAATCCAAGAAATCAACCTCCCGTGTTGAGACGGAGTCTGGAACGGTTTAAGGAACGTAATGATGTTGTTAACCGTCCGTGATCCCCATCAAAAGGCAATCGCTTCAATCTCCCCTTCTTTGATACCAATTGTAATACAGCGTTCTATTTAGTTTATCGAAGACTCCATAACAATCTAATACAATGTACCTGATTTCCTCGACAAAATACTGCTCGTGATCTTCATCAAAGGCAATTGCTTCAATGTCCCCTTCTTTGATACCAATTGTAATATATAGTTCTGTTTAGTTTACCCAAGACCTCCTTAGCAATCTAATACAATGTACCTCATTTCCTTGACAAAATACCACCCATGACCTCCATCAAAGGCAATTGCTTCAATCTCAATCCTCTTTGATACCAATTGTAATATATAGTTCTATTTGGTTTACCCAAGACCTCCTTAGCAATCTAATACAATGTACCTAATTTCCTTGACAAAATACTTCCCGTGATCCCCATCAAAGGCAATTGCTTCAATCTGCTCCCTTCTTTGATACCAATTGCAATAATTCTATTTGGTTTACCCAAGACCTCCTTAGCAATCTAATACAATGTACCTCATTTCCTTGACAAAATACTACCCATGATCTACATCAAAAACAATTAGTTCAATCTCAACCCTATTTGATACCAATTGTAATATATAGTTCTATTTGGTTTACCCAAGACCTCCTTAGCAATCTAGTACAATGTACTTCATTTCCTTGACAAAATTGTCTGTGATCTTCATCAAAGGCAATTGCTTCAATCTCAACCCTATTTGATACCAATTGTAATATATAGTTCTATTTGGTTTACCCAAGACCTCCTTAGCAATCTAATACAATGCACCTAATTTCCTTGACAAAAGACTACCCATGATCCCCATCAAAGGCAATTGCTTCAATCTCCTCCTTCTCTGATTCCAATTGAATGGTGTTCAATTTAGATCACTCAAGGATATATAGAAATCTAACAGAATGAAAATAATTACTTTTATATTAAATGTGATCGAGTAATTTCATAAAAAACCCGAAAACTTAACAATATATGATTAGATGAGTTCGATCAATAACAGGTGAACAATTTAAATATAAGTTTAACTTATATTTATTCTGGTGTTTATCTACGTCAAAACAATTTTTGAAGATTTTTCTGTGAATTCTTAAAACCCTGATCGTCGTAAACCTTTTCACTTTCAAAGTGAATATTTTATCTCGAATTGTGCGAATAGCTTCGGAATTACGCTTTACGCATTGAATACTGAACCAACTAATAACAAAGTGCTAAGGTGTAATTAGGTTGAATTTCTAATTATATCCGAATATAATCATCAACATTCTACATTTATTTCACGTAACAAATAAAAATCATTACCTTTCTGAGGCACAAAATGGACGACCCAGGAAGCGTTTATTTCCTTCACCTCCACATCGGCAAGCTCCTTCAATCTCGTCATGTTAACGTCAGGCTGGTAGCACTGCTCTCGTATCATTATAATTACTGTCACTTCCGTATCCGGTTTCACACGACCGGAACAAAAACACACCAGAAGAACCAGGCCGGATATCACACTGGCCATGGAGCACGCCGATATTACGCTTCCAGTTTCTTTCGTTTCATTGCGTTCTTCCGGCGCCAAGATGGCGGACTGCGCTTCCGGTTCGTCCACGGCGCCAGGTCCCCAGTCCCTCAGTAGGAGTTACATCCGGTTGCGGTTCCGGAATCAATGCCTTCCTGCAACAGACGAAATTAAACAATTTTTACTACTGATTGTAATAATAGTCACGTATTATATTGTTGTACAAATGTTTCACAATAAAGGAAAATCACAAACGCACAAATTTGCCCAAGAGCATAGTATGTCACCAAACGTATACCAACTTAACGAACAACACCAGAAACAACAGAGAAGAAATTCTGTTGTTCCAGTTTTAATCTCGAAATAAAAAAGTAAAGAAAGATTATAGTAACGTGTATTTTAATTTTTTTTTTACATTTTAAGTGATGGAGGGAGCAATGAAAATAAGGAACCATTTGTGTTAAATGTAGTGTATACTCACAATACCAGTGAAATATTATCCACTTTCTGTGACAGCGCAACAAACGACTCTATCAAGGCCAAGGCGGTGTATTTATTGAAACAGTTACAAGTAAGAAATGCTCCAATAATAGTGATTGATTATTTTTTAGACTTAAAGTCGACAATATATTTTTTTTTATAATCATAGAACTAATCGTAATTTATTACATTTAGAAAATCATATTTCAACCTGTTTTTGATTAGTATGTACTAAAAATCCCTCTTAGCACAAAGGTGCGTTAACTGTAACAACAGTTTGTTCAACACAAATTTTTATTTTTCTTCGCCGGCAATGTTTAAATCAGTTTTGTTAAATGTTTAAATCAGCAATGTGTAATTTAGATGTTAATAGATGTTTAATTCAGAAAGGAAAACATTAGTAATTCTTTCAAGATCTTACAGCTAAGATTAATAATATTAAAGACAAATCACAAAATACTGGTACATTGTTCTTCATGTACTAAATGAAAATAGGCCTATAACTTTTTACAATTTTCAAAAGTTTTTTCCCACTGAAAGAACGAGGTTAAAAGTCAGACCACCTTGGACCCTCATAAATCTATTACATAGCTTGAATAATGAGTGCATTAATTACAATTCTTTCCTTGTTTTACTAAGTTAAGTCTGAGAAAGATTCAGAAAATGATATTGAAAATGATATTGGAACATTGTCAAATGTGGTTTCAAATGTGGTTTCAAATGTGAGCAAAGACGTTGTTTTACAGGCAGTTACGTCATACGTTGTTTCGACATACTGTCAACATGTAACTGATTTCTCCAAAGAGTACGCAAGTCTCGGATATTGTAGAGTATTTTCAAATAACTGTTTTAAAAATTGCTCAAAAATTACAGGAAACATTACGTTACTTGTCATGCAAATTGCGTAAACTGCCCTCAAGACGCCCGTGAAGGTACTAGAGAATTAAACTTTACCTCCAACTTGATACAGTTTATTGATAGACATTTCACCTCTTTAATTTAACTTTTAATATCAGTTCAAATAAAATAATTAAAAACCAGTTAAATTGTGTATTTTTGGTACCTAAGCAAAAAAGGGATTAATGTAAAGATTAGGAGCGTTTTGTCAATATGATTATTAATATTATAAATAATGGCTAAAAATCCTTTTGCAGACTATTGGACGTTCTTAACTAATAATATCGTTCTTACATGAGTTTGGAGAAAACTTTAGTAAATGGTTGTAAAAAGGCAAAGTTTCCAAGATAACAGCCTCCCTGAAACTTTGAAAGCCCATCTTACTAAGTAAACTGAGTTAGGCCAAAGTTAAGTAGCGAATATTACAACAGAGAGATTTAAAAACTCAGCTATAGGTTATGTCTCTCTTTTGATAACGATAAGTTCTATGTTTTGAAATGCATTCGACTATTTTTGGCTCGTAAGATCATAGATTAAAGGAGTTAAGACATATAATTAATTAAGAAACCCATGTTAGTTAATACTTATATATCATAAAATTGAAAAGATGATGGCCACTCGTTATTTATTTTGTTTTCCGATTTAAAGTATACTCAAACAACATTCAATTCTTAAATATTAAATAATAATAAATAATTAAATAAATAATTAGTCAAAATGTTTTCAACCCATTGATACCTTCACTTAAAATATTCTTTAGTTTAAGGTGGAGGTAACTGCACTGGATATGTGTTGCTGGCAGTTTATTATGTCAAATGGTAGACTTATTCCTATGGTTTGTGAAGTTAAAGTTGAACATAAAGTATGAATTCAACTAGTGTATTCAATTAATTAGGTTGATCGTAAGCAATGCATTTTTAAAACTGGATTCAGTGTAGAATTTTCCTAGCTACAATGTTAATATCAGTTCGTAAATCTAATGGTGAATTGTCTTAGTTTAGAAATAGTTTTAAAACATGTGCAGATCGTTTTGGACATTTATAATCAATGCTTAATTCTCTGAAAGGTTAACATAAAACAATATATATCTTTCTAGAACGTTTTCATTATCCGTGGGTGAAATTAAATTTAACATACGTGTCATAACTTTAATTTAGAACATCGAGAAGTCTTTGAAAGGAGTTATTAAAACGTTTTCTCAGAGGTTTAACTTCTACCTAAATCCCTCTTCCCCTCTTCTACCTTCTCCCTGGAACTTGAATTACACTTGTTACCTCCCGAGAAATGCACTTATCTTCCAACAGAAGATGCATGCATTTAACAAGTTTAAACTAGTTTTCCAACATTCTATGTTGGATATAGTATACAAACATTTCATTTAAATAATCAATGGTTTATATTTTGTATTGTCTTTTCCAGCTGCTATGAAAATATGAACTTTTATAATTTTGAGACATATGATTTTTGAATGAATTGTTATGTTGTGATAACAGGAATAATAGTTTGGTAGCATTTTACTATGATTGAGTAACTTTTCTTTTGTGAATAATTAAATTATTTTCTGCCCAGTATCGAGTCCTTTTTCTCTCCATTTTTGACTTTTAACATTTGGCGACCGTGACAGGACTGTATGAGTTCTTAACCAGATAGTCACTATATTGAGATAATGGAAAGAAATAGGAAACTAAGAAAAACCTTCAGAACAGCATTTACCAGAATTTATAATGGGATAAATGAGGAGCTATGCAAAGATGAGCAAGACTTACACAATATACAGGGTAAATTGAGCTCTCTGGAAGGTAAGATAGAAGAACTAAAAACTTTGGACAGGGAAATTTTAGATTTCTTACTTGATTCTGAAGCAGATGAAGAAGAGTTAAATGAAGAAGTTAGGCTAGCAGATGAATATGTAGAGAAGTTTAATCGAATTAGTTTAGCTGTACAGAGTAGATTGATTAGGTCTAGGGCCACTTCACCTGAGGAGTCCAATGGGTCTGTAAAGAGTAAATCTACTGCTGTTAGGACTAAGCTGAGGCTACCTACTATTGAATTCACAAAGTTTAGCGGGGATTTGAAGGATTGGCTACCTTTTTGGGCACAATTCAAAAGAATAGACGATGACGAGAATATTGACGATATTGATAAATATCATTATCTTGTGCAGGCTACTTTAGCTAATTCTAGGGCTCGTCATCTGGTCGAAAGCTATCCTGCTACCGCTGAGAACTATTCAAAAGCTTTGCAAAGTCTTAAAAGTCGTTTTGGTAGAGATGACCTTCTCATAGAAGTGTATATTAGAGAGCTTTTGAAGTTAGTTCTGAGTAATTTAAACAGTTAGGTAGAAGTTTCTTGCATTTACGATAAACTGGAAACTCAACTAAGAGCATTGGAGACATTAGGAGTAACAACTGACAAATGTTCTGCTATGTTATATCCTCTTATAGAGTCTTGTTTGCCCGAGGAACTGTTGAGAGCTTGGCAGCGTCACTCCGGCTATGAAGTTGATGCTGAACTTAAGGATAGACTTGATGGCTTGATGAAGTTTCTGCAAAAGGAGGTTGCTAACGAGGAAAGGATTACTCTAGCCGCATCTGGTTTTGAAAATAGTAAGCAACCTAACCTACAGCCTAAAGTAAGTAAATCTACTGTATTTCGACCTAAGCCTAGTTACGCCAGACATACTGAAATGATGCCGACAGCTGCTGGTTTAGTTAACCCAACGAAGTCTGATAAGTTAAATACTAAAGACGTTAAATGTATGTTTTGTGGTTCTAACCACTTAGCTGAAAACTGTAAAGACAGTAAATTGACAGTAGATGAAAAGGTGAAAATCGTTGGGAAAAATGGTTGTTGTTTTACTTGCTTGAAGTATGGTCATAGGAGTGCGCAATGTAAAGTTAGAGTAAAATGTCCCAACTGTGGAAGGAGGCACACTGCTGTTATGTGTAGGGCATCTGCTGCAGAAGGAAGTTCATTGAGTGAACAACCAGGCAAAGAAAGTTCTCTAGCAAACAATGTTCACACAGAAGTGTTTTTACAAACCTTTTTAGTAAAAATTAGAAACCAAAATCGAGAGCGAACAGCACGTGCTTTAATAGATACGGGATCACAACGATCTTATATTTTGAAAACTACAGCAAAGGAATTTGGCTACGACATAGTCAGAAAGGAGAAGCTAGCTCATGCTTTATTTGGTGGTACTAGTACTGAAAAAATTGAACATGAGTGTTATAAGGTTAGACTAAGTGACTTAAATAACAGTTATGCCTGTAATTTTGACGTTCTTGATCAAGATGTAATTTGTAACGATGTTACAACAGTTAAGCCTGGTCCTTGGTCCATTGAGCTTGGAACACTGGGAATTAATGTAACAGATGGAGACGGGCCTATTGAAGTTCTGATAGGTGCAGACGTTGCCGGGAAACTTTACACTGAGAAACGATATCTGCTTTCCAACGGGTTAGTTGCGATGCACACTTTGTTGGGCTGGACTTTAATGGGAAGAACTACAGTTGAAGGGAATGACAGGTCCAGTTCTATGGCAGTAACTTCTTTACTTTCCCCTATTGATAATAAATCCATTTCAGATTTGTGGAGTTTGGATGTTTTAGGAATCAAGGATCCAGTGGAGGTCAAGAGTGAATCTTCAGTTAAAAGTAGAACAATGGAACATTTTGTAGAATCTGTTTCAGTGGAAAATGATGGCAGATATCAGGTCAAATTGCCATGGGTTGATGATCACCCGCCGTTACCTACTAATT